AGGCCAGGCTGGATGAGGCTTTGAGCAACCTGGTCTAGTGGAAGGTGTCCCTGCTGCTGGCAGGGGGGTTGGGACTGGATGAGCTTTAAGGTCCCTTCCAACCCAAACCATTCTATGATTCTGTGACTAATTCTGCTGACTTCTTCTGCCATCCGTTCCTCCCAGCCAGAGGACAGACACTTTGAAGGCAGCACGCACCTCAGCCGAGGATCATCTGGAACACCACATGTGTCAGAAGCTCTGAGGTCAAACTCATGGTGCTGGCAGCTCCTGCTTATGACATTTTCACAGAAGTGCTATAACTCAGGCTGTTAAAAAATGCAGCCTCTTTTTTCACAGCTTGTACTGACCCATCCACTCAAAAAATAATCAGTGCCTAAGCCTAAAAATGTTCCTTAATACTATCAGAAATTTTATGAAACTACTGTTAAAAATGAAAGGAAGTAGACTAACTAAACTTTTAAAATTACCCAACAATCTGCTAACACACTTAGAAGCAGCAAACAGACCAGCATTAGAGCTTTAACTGTAGGAAAACGGTTAAAGAAAATCCAAAACCACTCTCCTTTGGTGCTGAAAAATAGATTCCTCTGAAACTACATGTTCATTCTGAGGAAAGGAGTTCCCTGTGTCATCTACTTTGAACTAGGGCATGGTGAAAAATCCCCAGCATCAACTGGTTTGAAGCAAAGAAAGTCAGCTCACCTGAAGTTCAGAGAGAATCAACACACCTATAAGCACGATCATTGAAATCTTGTAGTAAAAAAATACTTTGTCTACTAGGTAATATAGTATTATTAATGAAATACAGAGTCTAAGATTTCATGGAATCATAGAATAGTTTGGGTTGGAAGGGACTTTTAAATGTAAATTAATAATTTGTGTAGGTATTTCAAAGTATTTTAGAGATATAATCCACATTCCCAGAAGCTGAATTCATGGGTTCTATATATAAGAGATATATGCAGTATGTACACATGATTTTATTTATAGGAAATTCTGAAACAATGGAAGGCAAGTAGAAGATTTTTAGATACTTACTTGAGCAAATATATTCAGCTAACTTTTCAGCATTTCCAGACTTTTCTCCTTGTGGAGTAAGGCCAATTTCTTCCACTATAACCAAAAGTAGCAAAAAAACCCCATTGAAATCAATGAGAATGAAAAATTCAGATTTATCATCACAGAAACATGGGTTGAAAGGAAGAACAACTCCATCCAAGCACACAAATACTTCTTGGAAAAGCAAAAAAAAATTAGAGCATTTGAAGTAGTAACAAGCTATGAAAAAATTGATTTTGACTCTAGAAAGACTTAAATGAAAAAAGTACAAATGAAGAATTCTGGGGATAGCTAAGCTGTTCTGGAGAGTTTTTAAACTCGTGTACCTGAAGCAGTGAGACAGCAAACACATGGCACAGTTTGGTTGCAGCTCGCTTCCCAACAAGCATATTGCTGCTCTTTGCAGTGAAGGCTGAAAAAAAATCTGATCAGAAAATCTGGGAGTGTAATACTGCTCTTATTTAAGCAAGTAAATAAGGAATGAATCCCTGAGCAGTTAACTCATTTGGGGTTTGATTGATTCAAGATGCTTGTAAGGTGTCACCAGTTGGTGATCCAATGTTGTTAATCAGCCTGCTTGAAATAATAAGCTTTTTATAGAGGTAGCCAGTACTTACCCAAATTATTTTTGGACTACAAGCAGAAAAACATCAAACTTTTAATATTCTCTGTTAGTCTTTTCATTTCCTATGTAGTTCAGTGGAAGTTAAGGCTACAATTCCATTTTACAATAAGAACAGCTTTCATAAAACTGAAATCTACATTGCATTTTTGTTATGCACATAAAATATGTATTTCAGATTAAAGCCAATGCCAAGACAAATAAAAGCAGCTGACCCACTGAAGACAACAAGGGGCTGTATAACGCTGGCTGCTGTTTGGCAAGTGCCTCACAGCAACACTGAGGGAGTGAAGGGCCAGTGCATCACACTTGGTACAACCTCAGACAATCATGTTATAATCCCCTTCATCCCATTTCATTTCCAAAGTGAATGAAAAAAAAATGCAAAAATGCAAATTAAGAACATTTTTTTTCCTTTTTTGATCAAATTTTTAAAGTAGTTACCATCACATTACAATAAAAGTGATGAAAAACCAGAAGCAGGATCCTTAGGTGAAGCACGCACTAATAATTCTCATATTTATGAGAATTACACAATTATTTGTTTGCAAAATTATCCATTTATAAAACTTACCTACATTTTTTTCTAAGCTCCCTTGAATAGTAGCTAATACTCCAAAAATTGTATTTATAAGAGAGACTTATCTATGATTTCTTTTTTTTTAAAAAACCCTCAGCTTACCTAGAGAAGCTGTAGCTTTTCCTACCACGTACACTGGTTTGGTATTCCATTTTTGTTTAAGAGATTTTGACCAGGCTGAAAAACATTAAATTAAATTTAAGCACGTAGCAACAAAATCTGAATGCTAAATGAGTATTTGGACTTCTGTTTAATCTACAAATACAGCACAATAATAATTACTAATACTCCACTATGTACTTCAGTAAATCTGGATGTACAACATGAATTTTTAATGTATTTTTTTCATTGTGTAAATAACAGTCTACAACATGTTTTTAAAAGTCTAATTTGAGTAAACAGTTCTTAGCTGCTTTTAAGTAGTGTTTTTAATGCACACTTGCCCCACACCGATATTAATACCAATATTTTGGTATTAAGAATTTTAAAAAGGACCAAAACTCACAGGAAAAAGCAGCACATAGTATAAAGGGAGATTTAGACATACAAATTGGTGGTTCAAAACTGAAGGCTTAGGCAAAAAGCCCAAATATAGTCTTCTATGACAACAAATAAAATGGTAAAAATCTATATCTATGCAATACAGTAGTCTGTAAGAAAAATATAGAAACTGATTATATTTTAAACAGACATTAAAAAAAAAAGTTATCAGCTTAGAAGTAAAATGTACCAGAGATCAAAATAAAATTACTAGGAAATGGTTTTTCTCCTTCAGGCATTAAGTATATTATAGATTAGACTTCTTGGCTCTAGCTACCTGATTCCTATGCCTGAAATCTTAATAGGACAAAAATAGATATGCTAAGTCTTTTACTGTCTTGTCTTAAAACATTGAGTTCTTTTCCAGTATTCTTGGAGGAAAAAAAATAAAATAGAAATAAAAATTACAACAGGAGGAAAAAAAAAATAAGAGGAAACTATTCTAAAGTAGGAAAAAGAAAAAGATTTATTACCTTTGAAAGGAACCCAAATAGAACTAAAGGCTCATTTTATTGATTAAAATATGTGTTTCAGCATCTCCCAAAATTCTTAAACAATACTAGGGAGCAACTCTAGATAAGAGATTACATTTGAGCAAAACCCCTAAAATACAGCCTTTTGCTGTTGAAAATCCTATAAATAAACCGACAGTGTATTTACCACTTACTCAAGAGCGTAACCTTACCCACTGCACATTGATTAGTATGCCTACAGCCTAAATACAGAGCAGATAAAGTAATGATGCAATTTAAGTGCACACAGAAATTCCAAGCCAGAAGTGATCACTTACTGTAAGAATTTAGAAGAGTTTACAAGGATCTGACAGATAATTTCTATTTGATATGATAATTTCTATTTAGCATTACTCACAACTAATCTCTTGGCTTTTATGTATCACCATGTCTTCACTGCTTTTTAGCTAATGCTTAATTCACTTGATAAATTTTATATTCAAGACAGAGAAACCTGGTTTTCTGTAGGACTCCATATGAAGTCCACACAGAAGCAGCAGTGGCCAGTTTTGACAATATGCTTCTCTCTTTAAGGAAGGAAAGTGGTGAGTAAGCAAAACTAGGCACTGCAGCAAAATATTCCTCATGTGTCAGTTTCTGTTTACAACTCTTTTTAGCAAAGATAACCACAGCTGAAAAAAAGCTCACACTAATTAGTAATTACCTTCAATTAGTAATTTGCACCAAAAGCCTTTTCCACACAGCATAAGTGTGGAAAACACAACCCTCAACCCTTTAAAAGCTCAATTTAGTATGAGGTCTTTACGATGCCAAAAGATTTATGAGATACAGCTTTTTTTAAAGAAGGTATAATCCAAACACTTACTGGTGGGTGAAATAAAATGACAAACTCAAGAAAATACTGAAAGAGAAAGAACAAGGAATATAAATATGCACTTACCTTCATTTTTACTGTTCTCTTTTAAACATATCTTGATGGCTTCTAATGCTCTTGGACTGGTAAAAACTAGGCCTCCATAACACTCTGGATGAGAGAGCTACTTATAAACAGTAAATTTAAAAAAAAAAAAAAAAGGTAAATAAATGAAAAAATAAAGTTGATCAACTCTTCATAATCTTGTGAAGAACAAACAGCTTCAATAAATGTCTGAAACTGAAATGGGCAAATATTTCATTAGTATCAATAGCCAGAGTATTTATAAGAGAAGTGTATAACAATACCACATTGTACACAACACGATACAATATTGGACACAACATCAAGTATGTTGCCCATACTTGTTAAAACATTAATTTGGTCAGATAGAATTCACAGTTAGATTGATGATGGATTATAGATGGTCACAGATATTGGGGTATTTTATCACAGCAAGAAGTTAGAAGACTGCAATGACAACTAAAGGTTACCTGAGGTTCACCTTTAGGTTGTGCTGAAGTTGTATACTGCACCTCCTAGTTATATGGAATAAAAATGCATAACTGGTGTTCTCTTTCTGCTCTTTCTTTAATGGATATTTATTTTAAAATGTTGACATTTTTTTCCCAGGGAGGTTCCCTTTATTGACCATCTCCAGCAGCACTGAATTCAGGTGTGAAGTGTTTCAGTCTATCACAATCTGCATTTAAAAGTGACTGAAGAACATTTTTCCTTTTTGGTACTTATCTTTGAGAGCCCATTAGTAATCTCAACTGTTCTTTGAGGAAGCAGGGAGGTGTCTGGGTAGCACTCTCTGTGTTACTGCTTGGAATAACACTTGTTTTCTCTTGTATGAATTTGTAAGTACCTGATATGTCATTCACCATCCTTCCAGCTCATTTCAGTGACAAGAATCCTTGTCTGTTCCTGTAGATTCTCAGAATTAATAGAATCTGTGCATGTTTTGTTCTGAATTTGAGATTTGTTATACATTTCTCTTATAAATATGGTATTGTAAACAACTGTGTTTGTGGAAACACAGGAAGAGGTACCACCAAGGGCAACAATATTATTAAATCAAGATAAGACATAGCATCTTGGCAACCATGCCCTAAATTCTGCTGAAAATGAGGTGACTGAAATAATTTAAAACTTACCTTTTCAAATAAGCTTTCAAGAGAGATGAATTCAAATGACAAAACTGGAATCAAAGTTGCTTCAAATCCATGTAATCCTAATTCCTATGGAAATAATAATAAAAAAAAAAGTTTAAAGCTCTTGAAATAGATTTCAAACAGTATTTTGTCCTTTTTCAAATAATTGACTAGGTCAGCACAAATATTTACTTTTACTAAAGTCAAATACAAAAGCATCTTATTTGCTTTTCCTAGTGAAACTACTTTGGGTTTTTTTGGTTATTGAGTATTACAACATAATACAAAACAATCAGCTGTGGAACTGAGGCTTCCTACACAGCTACTGCACAGTTCCAGTTTACACCAGCACGTAACTCTGGCATCTCTAAGTGACCATCACCTAGTCCTGCAAATATTCCTGTCCACCTCTGTAATTCTTTAAAGTCAACAGAACTGCTCTTGGGAGTAAGACCTACTCATGTGATTAAAGGCAACAGCAGAAAGGACCACAGCAACAGGTAACCTCTTCTTCACATCACATTCCCAGTAAGACTACTAACATTCTTTGTCATCTTAATTCTATCCATATGAACATAATCAATACTAAGTAATTAAAATGAAATTGTTTTAATATCAGGACTTTGCTTTAATGATGAATATTGACGAATATGATATTTTAATATCAGCTTTAACAATGAATCAGTATGAATGCCCCACAACTAAAATATTATTTTCAGTAACAGCAAATTTTCTAGCATAGTTTTTTCTTAGCATAATTTCAGACATGCACTCCTAATTTTGACTATTTTTCTTAGAAAATATCATCATTTCAGACATGTACTCCAAATTGTGATTAAGCATGTTTTTCACTTGAAACAGTTAAATTAATTTATCTCACTGAACACATGATACTATTATTTAATAGTGAAGTGATACAATTCTATACTTTTTTTAAAGTTTACTCACCTTAATATAGGGATCTGGTCCTGAATCTTTGTCTTTGGGATCTTTCAGCAACAGAACCTTCATTGTTTACCAAATAACTGCAAAAAAACTCTGAAAAACAATAAAGGAATTTATCTAAATTAGATCTAGAGGACTTTCTACTGAACAAGTGACTTTAATAGCTCAGCTTCAAAGCAACTGGGTTGCTAACAGTTGCTCTGCTCTCTGTACGATGAGTAAGCAGTTAACTACATTCTCTGGGCAGGAATATCCACCCTGATAAGACCAACAAATAACATGCTGTCTTTAGATAATACCACTTAAGGGAGAAACTATAATGAAAGTCATCAAGGAAAACACATTTAAAGGAGAATATGTAGAAAAAATAACAACCCCTACAATGCAGTCACGTTCAGCAATGTTGTAAGATGCTATCTATGAAAAATGATCCTCTTTATTTCCACGCTAGCTTCCATTATGCTCATCATAATGACTATGCAAGGGCTTATGTATCAAGCGATTTAATTCAATGTATTTAGGGTATCACCCTTTTCATAGGGGAAAACATGCAAGATAAGTGTTTCAAAATTAAAAAAAACCCAAAACACACCCATATATACACACATTTATCCATGTGAATGTAATATATATATAATATTCATATGCCTTCTTTGATGTATTTATAGTAAACAAGGCAAGACTGAAAAAATATATTCTGCCATTAGAATGAAAAATGATAGTTCTCAGTTCCTTAAAAGTTGACTTTGGTGCTGAATTCAAAGCCTGTTACAACATATAGGCAAATATACCAAACATCAAAGTAAATAAATGCCATAATACAAACAGAAAGCCATTCCCTAACTGTACATTTACCTTAATTATCTATGCGTCACTTCCCTGATCGATTACATACTAGCAAATTCTCTTTAAAATTCATATTTATGAATATTCAAATGTACAGAAAAATTTAAATTTTACTCATTTGCATGACATGCATTGAAATCCTCAAAATTTCATTGAAGACAAAAACACTTTTTCAGACAAAAATGGAAAAAGAGAAAAGGCAGCTTTAGATAAAAGTGGACAAGGCAGGATCTGGTACAAGTAGCCAGAGCTCAGTGTCACACATGCATCTAAAGGCAGAAGCACATCAAAACACAGGTGGGGAAAAGGGCACCCAAAGCACCACCCCCAGGAACTCAATATCCAGCTGTGATACTACATTAATTTTGTGGATTTTAAACTTAATTTTTTATTTTTTTTTTTTAAATCTAGGTTTTAAAATGTGGTGTCAGAATTACAGTGTTTAATTCTTAACATCTTGCTGTTAGACATGGAAATACTAATTTCCACAAGACTTCTAGCACTCAAAATTGACCCAATGGGCTTTGCAGTTCTGAAATCCCGAGCCAGTGAAGTCAAAGGGAATGACTAAAAGCACACACAGAAGAAAAAAACAAGAACTTTGTCCAGGACCTTATTCCCAAAACCAGTTATTCTTGCTGAATTCAAACTAGAGCAAGCACCAAAGGAAATCCCATCCATGGCCTTCAAGAGTTAGATTCCCAAACACTCTTGAGTATCCAGTTGCTAGTAGCTTGAAGGAGGTAAGGTGAAGTGGCTTTTCTCAGTCACTTGAACACTCTAACAGTCCTTACTTTAAAAATCCAACATTCTTGTAAAAACCTAGTTTGCACATGGTTCTTTGTGGCAGAGACTGTTGTTCTGATACTGAAGTTACTAACGATCTTTACTATAACTCTACCTTCAGTGCTTTCAGCCTTTGACAGGCTGAGAGAGTTGGGGCTGTTCAGCCTGGAGAAGAGAAGGCTCCGGGGAGACCTTATAGCGGCCTCCCAGTACCTGAAGGGGCTACAAGAAAGCTGGGGAGGGACTTTTCATAAGGGCAATTAATGACAAAACAAGGGGAAATGGCTTTAGGCTGAAAGAGGGGAGGTTTAGATGAGATATTAGGAAGAAATTCTTCACTGTGAAGGTGGTCAGACAGTGTCCCAGGTTGCCCAAGGAAGTTGTGGCTGCTCCTCCCTGGAAGTGTTCGCGGCCAGGTTGGATGAGGCTTTGAGCAACCTGGTCTAGTGGAAGGTGTCCCTGCTGATGGCAGGGGGGTTGGGACTGGATGAGCTTTAAGGTCCCTTCCAACCCAAACCATTCTATGATTATGCTCTAAGTATGACACATTTCTACTGGTACTCTTATAGTCTAACAGCACCAAGAAAAATGATGTTAACTCTAACCTACCACACCCTCCTACTGCCAAAATATATAACGTCTAATAACTTTATGAAGTCATCAAAATATAAAAGTAAGGAAAAAAAAATAAAATCCTTCCAATCTGTATGATAAAAGATAATAATACTTTCTGGAAAGTGCAATTTCCAAAAGTATTGTAATAAAACCCCCAGGTGACATGAGAGAGTTAATGCAGGTACACCTGAGGAAAGCAGATTCTTAATTAATTACCTTAGGTAGTTAGAAACAAATTAACTTCCCATCCTGTGCCTTATTACCCTGTCAAGTAAAGAATAATAAGAAGAAATGGGTAAACATCCATGCATAACAGGGTGACTTACAATAATCAAATTAATTATTGTGTTTAGATCCTGCATACAAAATATAGACTAAACCCAAAGAATCACTGCAAAGTCACAAAATACCATGAACTACTGCAAGATGCAATTACCTAGCTGTTTCCACTACAAAGAGACCATACAAGCTGCATTTTGGACTCAGCCATCTGGCTCACTTGTAAGAAGAACAAGACTGAACAGCCCTGATGCTCTTAGAAGCTTATTTTCAATTCTGCCAGAAGGCAGCACGTTTACAGACTCCAAAAAGTGGCCACAAGTGTCCAAGAGGAGACAAATTTGACCCAGGGAATCTGTAAGTTTGTGTATTCATCAATAACACGTATTTTGATCTGCAACAACTGATCTCTGACTGCTTTTGGTTTTATTGCTGAAAAAATTAAGTGTGTTTTTCTGCAGGTACAACACTCTCAGACTGTTTTGTTCTTTCTGCCCTTGCAACTCTGACAGGGTCACACAGATTTAGGGACAAGTGTGACCAAACTAAAACCAGTGGAATATGCCCATTTCACAACGCCAGGTCATCACACCCAACACTATGGGTGCAACCCACCCAAACTCACTTTTCTAGCCAGTTTGCCACAGACACATCACTGTGAACTGGGGCAAAATGCCATCACAGGAGCAAAAGTTTGCAAAAAGCTTGCAAAAAACATGCAAAAAAGCATGAAAAAAAGCACACGAGCCCATTTTCAACCCAAATATATGCCAATATATATTAAAAGGCTGAAGAGGTTAAAACTTGATGGATTCTTTTTGTGAGGAAAAAACATATAGAGTAGTTTTTGTGTCTTGCTGGAATGGATGTGAGGGTCCCACTGCACTGAGAAATCAGAGAAATAGGAGAAATACAGTATTTTTAATGGTTTGCTTGTGTCCTTGAGATGTTACTAAGGAGTGCCCTACAATGACTGAAACACAATTTTCCAAACAGCTAGCTTTCTGCTAAATAAAACTTAAGGGCAAGAACCCTGACAAACATTCCTACTGAATCATTAAGAGAAAGCACATAAATAAGATATGCAGCATCTTCAGTAATTTTTTGATGTATTTTGAGGGAAGTACTTACAACACAAAGATTTATTTTAGATTATCTTATATCTATAAATTACATCTTACATTTTTAATCAAATTGGTATACACAAACTTCTGAACAACCATAAAAAGTTTCTATATAGACCAAGGAGCGGGCTTAGCAGAGTCCAGCAGAGCTCAATCTATATCTGGAAAAGGCAACATGTATGAATAACCTGAATAAGTTTTCCACTGCCAAGTCTTTGTTTATAGGATGATGCTGCCCACCCACTTTTGGCTCTTTGTTTGCCTCAGCACCAATAACAACCCTGCAAAGATTGTTCTTCAAATGTTAAAAAAAAAACCCCAATAACATTTAAAACCCATTAGGTCTGCAAACAACTAATAAGAAGACAACACATTTTTTCTGTCTTGACCACATAGACACAAAGATGAAGAAAAACTGGTGTTAGTCAGCCTGAGGTTTGAGAAACATCCAATTAGCTCTGATAACAAACTACCAGAGCGACTGGAGTGTCTGAGGCATTACATCACGACTGAAGGCTAAAACCAGTTTGGAGCTATTGCTCTGAGTCCACATTACTTAATTTTAATCTCACCTTAATCTAGAAGAAGGGTAATTTTGGGTCACAATTCATATTCAGAATATTATGCTTACAGATATAATTGAAATGCTTCCCATTCACAGCATCACAGAGTAAAATTCAACATCCCCGTGCCTTCAATTAAAATATAAAACTGATTACAATGTGTATTGCTGATATTAGTACAGTAAAAATGAGCAATACCCTCTCATTAAAAAAAACCTCACATATTTTTTATATAAAACATTGTACAGAAAGAATATCTCCATGGGTCACTCAACCTTCATTTCAAAAGCTGTTCCCAAACTAATTACAAACTATCTTTAATAAAAAGGACAGCTTCTAAAAAGAAATAAAATTGGTCCTTTTGTTTCTTGCTGCTAAGTGACACTGAGAGCTGCAAAATATATTAAATTTTTCTATTACTTTTCTGATTATAAGCAACTGTATGGGTCACACAGTAAGGTCTGATTGCCAAGTGCAAAGGGAATTGTCTGTTCTATCATAAACAGAAATGGAGATGAATTATGAGACACTATTGAGATATGATTTAAAAAAAAACTTTTTAAAAAAACTTTTTAAAAATCCCTGGGCTAGGATTTTTGATGCTATGCATTTCTTATCAATGATGAGATGGGTTTAATAACTAGAGAATTCAAAAAAGCCTAACTATAAACTGCCACGATGAATGGCTCAGAAATCTACCAAATTCAGTAGAATCTGTTTTTTATATATATATATATAACAAATGTAATATATATATATTATAATATATATAAGTAACAACAACAGATCTGAAAATACTTCCCACTATTTGGGTGTCTATGTCACAAAACTCAACAACAAAACTGATTCTTTG